CGCTCCCTAAATAATAAAAATAAATTATAGTAATGGAGTTAGTAAAGTTAGTATAGTAAAGTTTTCCCCAAAACTTTGTCTTCAAAATAAGGGTGTCATCTTATACACTTTATAACAATAGTAGTTTTTTTTCTCTTTTAAAAACATAACTATTTATAATGCTCCCTAAATAATAAAAAAATAATATATATAGTAATGGAGTTAGTAAAGTTTTCCCCAAATCTTTGTCTTCAAAATAAGGGTGCATCTTATACACCGGTGTGTCTTATATTCCAAAAAATACGTTAATAAATTTCTTTTTTTTTTATGATATTCTATTTTTAAATATACGATTGTTGTTTTAGTTGTAGGTAAATATAAAGCTAAAATGATGTTAGATTAAGTAGGTGTCCAATTAATTTCAACAAAGAAAGATAACAAACTTTCGGTCCATTGATTGTTGATTATATTGTGTATTTATTCTAGGAAAGACAACTTATATTGTGTATTTATTCTAGGAAAGACAACTATTCCTTCCATATCCAAGCTTCAAGAGCTCATCGAGGGAGCTTGGAGAAAAGGATTTGACATTCAGGGGTGTGAACAACTTGGTGGAAGGTTGACTAAGACGAGGAAGTGGATTGGAGCCACTGAGATCGTCACTTTTTTTTCTTCTTTCCACATCAGGTAAATGTTTATGTTATGATTCGATCCATGTTTTTATACCCTAGTCACAGGACTTTATGAAAAGCATTTTGTAATTGGTAGCATTAGTGAGTGTTTTGAACCACTGTAGTTTTCACAGATGTATTAACCCTATGTCTGAAAAAGAAAACCAAATCCAAGACAGACTTAGAATTAGTTTTTACAGAAAAAAAAAGAGTATCAGAAATTTTAGAAGAATTTTCTACAAGTACACAAATATTTTTCTAAGCTAGCTAATTTTTTGGTTCATAAAGTTGTAGATTGAAAGAAATACACATGAATAATTAATGTGAAAAAAGAAATTAATAGAGATGTTATTAAAAATATAATTATATTACTAAAATGATAGAATGTAATCTATTTAATGAGCTTTATCTTTAGTGTACAAAAAATTTCATTAAAATAACTTGATCATTTATAACTATTAACAGAATGTTAATTTTGAATGCTCAGGTTTATGTTTTTGATACTTTTAAGGATAAAATGTCACAAAGGCACTTGTTAATAAAACTTAGTTTTTCATAGTGACTCAATTTATTATTAAAACTTTGATTTCCTTCCTTGTTTGATAATTATTGTGTGTCATGATATAAAAGGCCGTTTAGTTATTATTGATTAATTTATTTTTGTGAGTGAATATTTTTTTAACAAAACTTCCTACAAACGTCTGCTTTTAACTCTTATTATAACAAAAACTACACAATGATTAATTCATTGATGTTGAAACTGTTGAACGTCGCATGCAATACATCAACATTGAGAATATAGAAGGCGGACAGACGATTAGGTGATAAAGGTATAAATAGCGTGAGATGAGCAGAAACAGCAGACAGATAATGGCAGAAGTAAGTAAAGTTACAAAAGGAAAGGTTTGGCATGAAGTTAGCTATTGAAGAAGTGATAGGCCAAACGACTGACATAGGCCTAACGTTTAATATGTTAGAATAAGACTAACAGTAGAATCGAAGATAAGAAAAATAATTTATTCCATCAAAGCGTGGTTCTAAAGTTATTGAATCAACTTGAGTGTATTTGATAAAAGGAACAGATGGTCTTCAGAAGAAAGAAAACCAAAAGATTACTGTAATTCATGCCACAATTATAACTGAATCACACATAGATTACTAGTGCGATAGTAATCGATAAGAAAGTTCGGCTTGTCAACTGAAATTCTAAAGTAATTGAATAGGGCTAAGTGAACTTTTGACAATAAGGAGAGAACTATATATATAGTGTTTATGATATGCCTATAATATCTATAGTGTTGAAGAATTTGTTGTAAATGTGTTAACTTGTTCCGAATATATATAATTGTTAAAACAAGTGAAGTGCATGCTGTTTATTTATCATTAAATTTATCATTAAGAAGTCACAGACACCTACTGTAGAAGAATCCTAAGCCCAACAACAACACAGTATATATGTATACTATTAAGATATATAACTTTTTATTTTGACAGTTGGCAAAAAGAAGAATGTATATTTTAAATTCTGACATTGTGCTTTGTCGAGCTTACTCATTCTTTCAAAAGTGAAATATAGTTTGTGTAAAAATTTTTTTATATTTGTGATACACAATTAAATATATGCAGTAAAAGCTTTGTTATCAGGCATTTCCATATACAGTAAACTCTCTTAACTATAAATTTCAACATCTAATGTTCACTGTATGTTTCACAAATTCGTCATTTATTCACGACCATGTTTTTGCCAGTAAAGGTTTCATCGGGTTCATTGTAGCTTAGTGGCACTGCTGTTGCTTTGTTTACATTCTTTCCTGCCAGCAATTTCAGTTGTTAGCTGCCTGTAGTGTGATTCACATTTTAAAATACTGTACTTGTAAATGTTTTTATACAGTTTAAGGTTGTTTTTTTTTAACCACATATATTATTATTCTTTAAAACTGTTTTTCTTATGGATGATCTAAATATACTGTACTTTAGATCAGTAACTGGAATTTTTGCCTATCCAGCACTGCTCAGTTCCAGCAGATTTGGGATAATAAAGCTTGTACTTTGTGTATGTATGTATGTATATGTATTTTTCTGTCTATTTACCAAAATAATTTGAAATTATAAATAAGTTTATTATGTATTGATGAAATAATTAAATTGTATCATTACAAGAAGAGTAAAATCATCAAGGAATTAATTAGTCAAATCCATTAAAGACTAATTAAGAGTTGAAAAGATGAAAATATAGATACTTTATTAAGGATTTGAAATGTGATTCCTTTGTGCCAGGTGCCAGTTAATTGATTTCCACCAGCCAACAGGACCTAATGGAACTCATCCAGAGATGTTCATGTGGGTTAAAAACTACTTCAGCAAAGAGGAAGATTTTAAAGTTCCTTTGTATCTTCAGCATCACGGTACATTCGTTTTCTCCTATGTCCATTGTTATAATGTTGAGAAGTTCTGACGAAGACTCAGTTTTCTCTGATGTATGACTTTTAAGGGGTGTTGCAAAATAAATCACACTTTTTCTCCCAAAGTAATCATGAACTTGGTAGGATCGCAGATATCATCACTCGGGAGAAAATGTTATTTCAACGTACTCTTGGGTGTTTGACTCTTTGAATTTTATTTTTTGCAAAAACTTTTGAATCATGGTGCTCACTAGAACTCGGGTTCGTGTCGCATGTGCTGCCTTCGTGATGGCTCAGAAACTAGTCGCAGATATGCTCCGAGAATTCAAGTCTGAGCTTTCGTTCAACAATGCACAGAAGAAATGTTGGAAATTTTGCCTGAATGCGAGAGACACAAACGTGCAACCTTGATTCGTGTTCTCACTGATGTGCTCACAGAGACAGCCACAAAAACAGACGTGTTTGTTGCATTGCTGAAATCTTTTGCAAATCGATTAAAACTCGTGCGTGAGAACAATGGTGGCCCAATCAAGTGATATTGATACTTGGAATTATTTTATTGATTGAATTAAACTCTTATTTTACTTTGTTATGCTCTCGGGGGAAAAAAAAGTGTGATTTATTTTGCAACACCCCTCATCTAATCGTAAAATTAGACTGTTAATCCATCTGTTCACAAAATTAGAAACTGTACATTTTTGTCCACAAAATAGATGTATGATTATAAGATATTTAATTTTAAAACAAAAATAGTTTTAGCTTTGCATGCTGTTTTTCAGAAAATTCGTTATGATTTTTACATGAAACTTAAGTAATATTTTTTGCAAAGGGGGGATTGTACATGAAAACATAGATGAAATCCTGCATGGTTAATTTTTTTATTTTGGTACTGTTAATATTTTCCTAAATATAAAGTTGTAAGACAAGACCTTAAGATTTGGTTTACATTAATGTTGAACACCTAATTCTTATTACCAATATCACAATTAAGGAAATGCTTAAAACATCATGACACCAAAAAAACCTAGAAGCTTATAAAGAGACTGTTTTAATTTTAAACGTTCCTACAAGTACCCAAGAAGAAGGTTTAATATTATCAAGCAACGAATAAATCTAAACATTTTTTACTATTTAGGATGTATACATCTAACGTTTACACAGGTTTAACATAAGAGAAACTAACTACAAAAATAAAGAAACAGCTGTTATAATTTACATAATAGTATATTTTCCAAAATGGGTTATTTATTGCTATTTTATATCAAAATTTCTATAATTATATATATATAAATAAACATATAATAATAAAAAGGACCAAATACCAAAACTCAGGTTATTCAGTTTGTTTGTTTCTGATTTATTAAAGTTTAAGAAGTATTTTGGTAAACTATTGGTGTGAATCATAACTAATGACTCGGTTCGAAGAATTTCAAACTACTACTTTTTATGTATAAAAAATATTACAATACCAATTGCAAATTAAGTGGTTAAACTATTTATGAAACATACAATTTTTGTTATTTCCTCAAGCCTAAATAAGTGGTATTTGTGGAATGATCTTATTAATGTTTTGTAGCTTTTACTAGCTGATTATTCACTGATATTTTGATTAGGCCATAGTAGAACGGTGATAGGAGTTGAAGAACACACAGACGGGTCTCTTCAACTACTTGTGTTTGATTCAAGTCATTGCAAAAACCAGATGGATCAGTTTAATAACACTGCAAACCTCAGTAACGCCATGAGGCTAGTTCGTCGACCCTTATCAGCTTTGAAGGCTCGTCAGTATCAGTTAGTAGCAGTAGTGGGGCTGATGGAAACGGAGCAAGAATATGAGGTAAGGATTTTTGTATGATCGTATTCATTACACGTATGTATCACCAGTTGACCAATGTTTGATATTTGTGGAACAAGCAAAAAAAAAAATTTTTTTTATTTCTTACAACAAAAAAAACATGCTTTTATTAGGTTAAAGCGATGATGAAACTCAACCTGCTGATTTGTACTCAATAAATGTGCTTTCTTGAATACAAATTACCCATTTTTTAATTGGCCCAATAGTAGTATTTCAATTTCAAACATCACTGTACGTTTTGAGAGAAAAAAAAAATGTGTGTGTGTGTATATACTTTATAATTACATTTATATACCTGTAAGTAATACATACCTTTAGGAATATACTCGATAAAAAAAAAGTCCTTTTAAACTCTATTTCTTGATACTTTGTAATGTGTGAAGATAGTTGTACATCTGTGATTTATAAACAAATAACTTGTTTATATGTTTATACTATGTGTGAATTATTAGTTTTTGGTGGGTTTAGTAGGTCAAGAAAATAACTCAAATTGCCAAAACGTTTTACTTGGTTCAACAGTTCTTTTGACTCTTACTGTGGAGGTTGCTTTTACAGTTTTGAAACCTGTTTGGAATAGTTCGTTATTTTAATACCTTGTTAGTGGTCAAACATCTGAACTTCTATGAAGGGAGGCTGTCTTAGAGATTCCAGATTAATCTGTTCTCTGAAATTTTGTAGCATCTATCAGTTGGACACATGATTTGACTATAAAGCTTTTTCTCAATAAGTTTAGGGTAATTTTTTTGGATTAACTGAATGAATATTGTTAACTAATTTTGAACTATGGCAGGATTTGGATATAAAATTTAAATTTTGTCAGGTGAGATAGAGATTTACAAAAAAGATCAATAATGATATGGTTAAACATTATGCTTTTTTTTTTCACAAAATACTGTGAATTATAGTTTTATAAAATTTATTATATAAAACATATTTTTTTTGTCTTATTTTTACAAGTTTTATTAAAGATTACGGCATTCTTTCTTTTCCTCGTATTTTAACTAACTTGTATCTGATTGGTGCAGTGATGAGGATTTCTTTGTATTGTGGAAGTTTATATTTATTTTGTATATCTGAGTAGATTCAAACGAGCTTCAGACTAAATGGTGATATAAAAAAGTGTAATTGTGGAATTTTCAGTTTGGGTTAAAAGTTAAACAGCTATTTTATGTAGAACATAGTGTAATTTTACTCTGAAACAAACAATAATTAAGTTGATTTCAGTTGTCTTTGTAATATTTTGTTCTAACACCATCAGCTTAATAACAATTATACCAACTGTATAGTGACTCCCATCCCACCGTGATGTATGTATGTGTGTATAAATTCACAAATGTATTCTAATTAATTTTTTTTCCCCTCTTTTCGTAGGAAAGCAAAGTTATTCATTCTCAGCGTATACCATCTGAAAACTGAATAGGATGAGATAAACATTCTTAGGGAAAAAATAGTTCTATTTTTTAAATTAACACTGTTGTGCACGTTTGTGTTAAGGTAGGTCAGTTAAATTAAGTCAAACAGCGGAGGATCGAGATGGTAAGGTAGTCTTTTTTTGTCAACTGTTACAAAAGATTATTAATCAAAGCTACACTTGACGTTCGTTATCATTTATTTTCTTAATTATTTCTCTCCAAATTACATACTATACAGGGGAGGGGTTAATTTTATTTCAGTACTAGGCAGTTTTTGTACTTGTGTATATATATAAGAGTGTGTGTATGTGCGATTGTTTGAAAAGCTGATTTTATAGTTTTCAATGAAATCGGTTTCTTAATACCAATTGAACTAGAACAGTGAAACTGGCATAGACACTTTCTGTTGTCGTGGGAAAAATATGCTTGAATTATTTATTTATCTTCCCCATTTGTAAACAGAAAATATAACCAGAATAATATATGGTATTTCCTGAAAGGTGTGGACAAAAGATAGCGTAAAACTATTCCGTGATGATTTTGTGATGCAAGTAAATTGTAGCTGTAAGAAGGGTTTAATTTGTCCATTGTAACAGATATATATGAATACAAGTAAAAAAAATATATATATATATATATATGTATAAACATCTTTAAATGATTATTTTTTGTAATACCAAAAAAAGTTACTAACTAAAGTGAAATAAATGTCGTAAGCGACAATCTTTCTTTTAACATTTTCCTACTAAGGTATTCTTATACCCTAATACACTGGTTTAATTTGTGATCAATAGAGGGCATTAGCTGATTAAGAATTCAAAGAGCATATAAGGTAACTTTCTTTATTTTTTATTCTATTCTGTTCTTATTTTGATAGCAGAGTTGTCTACCAGATGGCTCTGAAGTGTTGAACGCAACATTCGGTTAATTGTTTGGTCCAAAATGCCTAATGTATGAAGTATTTGATGTCAGGGTAACTTTTGAGATGTTTTTTTTTAACCTTAGGATTTATGAGTCACAAAATACACATAAATGCATAGTCAAGAGACCCATCCTATACATCTCAGGATTAATGATGAAATACCTTTTACAAATATTAAGTTGTAAAGGTTAGAGACTCAAAAACCTGTAAGCCTAATGGTGCTAGGTAGGTTATATTAAGTATTAAGTCTAAGGCCTTTTTATCACATTTCAAAACAGTGTAAGGCGCTGAGAAGTTTACCTTAAGAACATGATTGAAAAGCATCAGCTGAAGTGATAAGCAGGTCTAAACATAGTTTTGTTTACTCTCCTTATTGTGTTTCAAGTGGCGCTAATAAAACAAAACAAGTTCCAACAGGTCTGTGAAACAATAGTGTACTTAAGTAAATATATATTATCTCATTTTAGCTTTTTTATCATTTAGCTCATTTAGTTTTTTTATCAAAGGCCATAATAAATTTACATTTTTCTTGTTTTCTTTTTTTTGCGATAAATGAAACAACCCTTGGTTAACAAAATGTAGAAAAATGAGCATATACATACCTGTTCTTTATGTAATGTTTTATAATACAAACACAACAATATTGTTGCTATGACTTACATGTCGTTGTTGGAACGTAGTGTTACCAAAATGCACTGGCTTTTCTATCTATATATTAGTTGCTAATCCAACTGATTTTTACCAATAATTATTCCATGAATACGCCACGAATTCATTTCATGAATGATCTTAATCTTGATTGGCTCACAGAAGAATTTACCGAAGTTTCACTGCCTCAATTGTACTTTTCTGCCTCTTTGTTGGTCAAGCTTGATTTTGCAAAATTTATTTCAAGTTGGCTGTGAAATGTGAGGCTAGGGTATACTATGGGTGGAGGGGATGGTAGTACTTGCCCAGTCATTTTTGATGGGATATAGAATTTTATAATAAACAACTAAATCGTCAACAGAACTTTGAGCTAAATACTTCCCAATGAATAATAATGATGGAGATGTTCAGAAACATGGGTTGTAAAATTATAATAGTTCACTCTTGCATATTAATTAACTGATTAATGTCGAGCACGTCGGGTTAGAGGTTGAAGGCTTAGCACAGCAGACAGTATAAACTTATGAAGATCTTGTTACCAGTTGGAACTGATTATTTCTTTTACCAGTATTATTGTATTACATTCATATAATATTTTTCCTGGTGTTTGAAAGCACGGATTTCATGTCCATTGCCACATTATACCTATTGCATCGTAAGTCGCAAGGATTCATTGGTTCTGATTTTAATCTGAAAAATGGATAACATAACATTTTTAACTTTTTTTTTTGGAGGTCGTCAAGGTAACACTCGTTTCTTGACAAATAAGTATAATGCCCCCTCAAGTGGCTCAGTGGTGAGTCTGGAGACGTATATTGCTAAAAAGTGAGCTGTCGATACCTGTGGTGGGCAGAGCACAGATAACCCATTATGTGGCTTTCTGCTTGATAAGAAACAGAGAAACAAAAAAGAAAAATATGATTTATTACAAACTTTAGGCTAATTCAAGTCATAGAAATGTTCATGAATATATATATATATTTCTGCTTATGTTTCACACGAAACTCGTACGTCGACCAGAACAACTTCCTTTATGTAAAGCATTTCCAGGGCTTCCCATACAGTTCTGACAAACTTTCTTCTTTCATATGCATGACTTGTTCTATTTTAAATATAAAGCAAACTAATATTAATCCTATTTGCATTGGTGGGAGTTGGAGTTTACATGTAATGACTTTTTTTACAGAGATACATTCAAAATTTAATTAAACAACTATGAAACTTGGCACTAAAATGTAGTTAATAATTCAAATTTTAATATTATACAAGTTTTAATTTCAATGGGATAGATTTAAATAACTTTTTGATCTCAGTATCTCCACTATTAATTAACTATCTTAGGTTTCCTTTTTTACCCATATGCAGTCTCTAAATTTGGCACAAACTCCAAATTTACAGTACATATATATGTTGCTAAGACATATTGCTTCCACTCCTCTCATTTTACAGAGATATAAACCTGCCTATCACATCCCATCTTTCAAGAAATCCAATAATTCTCTGGCATTTGCTATTAGATTATTTATAACCAATAGAAAGAGAAGAGCCCTCCAGTGGCACAATTGTATGTCTGCGGACTTACAACGCAAGAAACCGGGTTTCAATACCCATGGTGGGCAGAGCACAGATAGGCCATTGTGTAGCTTTGTGCTTAATTTCAAACAAACAAACAAGAAAGAGAAGATTTCAATTTACTGAATGTGATGGGGCCTGAGGCCATTAAACTAACCAGTTTTGAATAATTTGCCATCATTTCCATTGTTTGTCAGTGTTTTAATTCCTTGAACAGGTATGGGAATTACTTAAGCTTAGTTAGAAAGCCAAGAAAATTGTATGTTTTAGGACATTCTATTTTATATACATGGGAATATTTCATATTCTAAATTGATATTTGAATTTTAGGAAAATAATTTCTGAGACTACACTGTTGTTACTAAGAATTAGGCTTAGTGTTTCTAAGAATTAGGCTTAGTGTTTGACATAGACTACTAACTTACATGTATAAAAGCTTGAAAAAGGACTAGGTTTCAGAAAAAAGTACTGAATCTTTATGTATATTTTTTATTCATTATTATAAAAGTCATTTAAATAATAATAAAAAATCTTCATGAGGTATTCACGAGAGCTGCTTGTGCATTACATAATTTGATACTTCGTTTACCATAACTTTGATATGCTAGTTAAGTAGTTAGAGTTTAAAGGGCAATAAATCAGTAAGATTAAAGAAAAAGCATTTGTGAAAAGACTTAGAGGCCTGAAGCTGTTATCATAAATAATCGTAATTGTTACAATTTGTAGTAATTTTAGAAAAAAAAAGTGTACATTTGGTTTTATTTCATATTTTTCAACTTTAGCTGCAGTTAGTGTTAGGATAGCGAAAATAATATATTCATTTAGGAGGTTTTCAAGGTTAGCTAAATGAATTTGTACTTGAAACTGTTATTAAAACTCCATAGTTACAGAATGTAAATGAAGTATGATAACTGTAAGATGAAAATTGTATTTTTATTCTTAACATGAAAATCACCTTGTAATCTGACTAGTCAAAGTATGAATCAGAGTGACTTCATAAATTCTCAGACAGATCTTTAGTAAAAATACTCCATTAAAACTTTTATATACAATGGACCTGTAGTTATTACTAAAAGCTTGCCAAATTTTCATTAAGATACACAAAGTTAGTTTGGAATTATTTTAAATCTTAATTCTCCAATATGGAGTTGGTCCAGAGGACCAACTCATGCATTTAGGGTTGATAAATTAGCCAGTATAACAAAGTAAAACATCATTGCCATGTCAATCATTCTGGAACTGCCCGGCATGGTTAAGGTGCTCAACTCGCAATCTGAGGGTCAAGGGTTCGAATCCCCGTCCCGCCAAACATGCTCGCCCTTTCAGCCGTGGGGGCATTATAATGTGATGGTCAATCCCACTATTCATTGGGAAAAGAGTAGTCCAATAGTTGGCAGTGGGTGGTGATGACTAGCTGCCTTCCCTCTAGTCTTACACTGCTAAATTAGGGACAGCTTGCACAGGATAGCCCTCGTGTAGCTTTGCGCGAAATTCAAAAACAAACAAACATTCTGGAACTTAAGCAGTTCCAGTGGCAACACTTATAGAAAATATTTGGTTAAAGGATCCTGTTTGAAGATAAAGAAGTAATGATTGTATAAATAAAATACAAGCTCTGTTCGGTGGTTATTTCTTTAGCTGTACATCTTATACCATGCAAACACACACACACAATAGAAATTGTTGGTGAAACCTGGTTGATCGTATAGTTGAATGTAGTCTGTAGTTTTCTTTCACTCTAGAATATTAAATTAATGTTTTTGAGATGATTAGCTAAGAAAAAAGAAGAGAGAAAGAAATATATACACTATGCTTAGTTTAAGGATTTTTGGGAATTACAATAATATTTTTTTCTGCTTTAGATGAAATTTGTGTAATATATATATA